CCCCCCCCACCCCCCACCACACACACACATCCCTCGCCCCTCCCCGCTCCACAGCCCCAGGGGTCAGGTCAGATGGGCACCAGCCGCCCCAAGCCTGGGGACCCCTCACGGCGGCCGTGACTGTGGGGAAGCTCCCAGCCTGCCCCCCATCCCAGACCCCCCCCCCCCCGCCACTCACTCTCCTTGCTGCACATCTCCACGGCCAGCACGGCCCGGCTCAGCCCCTCCCGGTTGGAGCGCAGGTCCCGCAGCACGGCCCCGTTCAGCTCCCGCTGGAAGTCGCTCAGGTGCTGGGGCTGGAAGCCTGGGGGCAGGGATGGGGCAGGGGGTCAGAGGGGGCTCTGCCAGCTGCCCACTCCCCCCACACACACACCAGGAGGCACTCACCGGCCGGGGCGGGCACGTAGAAGTAGGGGGCGAAGCCGTGGATGTGGCAACAGACGCTGTTCCCGGCTGCGGTGACGCCAAACATCCGGAGAACGGGCACCGGGCCCTCGGTGGCGCCGGGCATGCCTGGCACGGGGACACCTGGCGGAGGGACAGGGTCAGAGTCAGAGACGGCGCCCCCCAACCTCCCACCCCCAGCACAGCACCTAGGCGGCACCAGGCCCACAGTCAGGGAACAGCCCAGCAGCCCCGAAGAGCCCCCCCGGCTCCCCAGCTGGGGCAGGGGAGCTGGGAGGTCCCAGGGGAATTCCAGGCCGTTCCCCCCCTCACCGGGGTGGCAGCAGGGACAGACAGGCCCATTGTGCCTCTGGAAAGCAGCCTCACCCCAGAATCCCCGGGGGTTCCCAGTGGGGGGCAAATTGACCCACGACACCGATTAACCAGCCCCCAGACTGGAGACAGGAGGCCCCTTTCCTGGCAGGAAATGGGGTCGTAATCCCCACTCCAGGGGGGAAGAGACAGCCAGGCCAGAGCCAGCAAAGGAACCCAGGAGTCCTGGCTGCCGGGCCCCCTTCCCCAGCCACTCTAACCACTGGACCTGCTTCCCCTCCCAGAGCCGGGGAGAGAACCCAGGCATCCTGGCTCCCTCCGCCCACATCCCCCACTTCTACCCATCAGACCCCGCCTCCTCCCAGAGCTGGGGAGAGAACCTAGGAGTCCTGGCTCCCTCCCTCCCCCCCCCATCCCCCACTTCTACCCATCAGACCCCGTCCCCTCCCTGAGCTGGGGAG